TACTGCATGTATCACTTGCGGTGTTATCTACTGTGTGGGTCATTGCGGCGCTGGCCCACCAAGAGCTTTCCCAGATATACCCTTTTTAGAGTGGTTCCTTGCACACGTGCTTCAAAAGGGTAATTCATAATCCGCAATTACGACCTGTCCTGCACTTATCCAAATTCATTTTAGTGTGGTCACTGGAATTCCTTTGGAGCACATTTCCGTATTGCCTCAGAATTTCACGTTGAGCATCCGTGCTATGTTCATGCAGGAAGCTCGCAGTCCTTTCTATTTAAGCGTTTCGTTTAATCTGAATGCAGCAAATGTGGTCAGCCAATTCGGTTAGTCGTTCAGCCTATGAAACATTATATATAAAAGAAACGTACAGCCAACTCGTATCACGCTCCTCTTAAAGTTGCATGAGATCACCGCATGTAAAAAAGCACACTCTAGGCTTTCCAACTTCAAGTTATCCAGGAAAGCCCACATAATTCCACTAGATCTCGGTAACTAAAATTTGCCTGTTGCTCTGCTGTTCGCTTATTGATTCCATTACTTGTTTATGAATTATGCCTAACTAAGGAGACCTATGTTTCCATCCGCTTCGACATTTCCACTGTTTGTTTGTTCTGAATTCCCTGCTTGCAGCTTTCCTGTGATTCTCTGTATATTATTTCACGCACATGTGTTTGTTTTTGTCTCTAATGCTTTGCTTTGTGCAGCCATGTGGCAAAAATGCCATCGTTGTGTGCGGCCTGTTTCCGCTACATGACGTTCAAGTATTGACTGCGGCTTTGCGCCTTCGAATCCACAATGAAAACACTACCCAAAATTCAGTGAGTGGTCGGCGTTCAGACGGTTTTTTTACTTGCAGATTTTGATAAGCTAGATATGTGCCGCTGTGTGCGCAACCCTTTCTTTGAGCCCTCATCCAACGCTTTAGAGCTCAGCCTGCACGCTATAGGAATAAGCATTAAATAGTCCGCTCTAGTTTGTACTCTGCTGTTGTTTAGCACGTCCTTAAGGCGCCACATAATCAGCATTAGGGTGGCTTGCATCAGGGCTAGAGCTCATTCCGTGTGACGACTTTGACAAAGTCATGGTGTGCTGCCTTCGACATTCACCAGCGTGTCCGGCTCTCCGTCGTCATCAGTGGTATGGTGGGGATTGGTGACACTGACAGATTGTAACAAGACTTTCGCAGCAGGCAGCAAACGCTCTACCGAGCTATTGCGTAAGAATGCATCCAGAAGAGTTCTGCAGTGCTGAGCAGCTGTATCTGAGGGGTGTGCTTCTGTGAACCACTGGCATTGAGCTTTTGGAATTTACGCGGCGCTGGTGCCCAAGAGGAATTCGTCTCCACTATAAGGATGTGGTTTTTACTCAGGGTCAGGGTTGGGCTGTCATTTTGCATAACAGCGCCAAATTGTTCCTGCCTCTCTCTTATCCGTAATGAGATGCAATAGGCTTAACGATGCCTCGCAGTGTGCTGCTCCGCTCAGTCGACTGATTAAAACTTAGGTTGGCCAGCAGGCTGTAGAATAGAGCAGTGACGCTTCTGAAGTTGGGAGGCAAGCCCCATATGCACACTCTTTTCTACAGAGCGCTTGGGGACAGACAGTGTCTGGCTGGCTGCCACGGGGAATGCACAGGTGCTTTGCTCATAAGCTGTGCAAACCCAATAGCGGTTCTGCATTCTCAAGCATGTTCACGCTTGCAAGTTCATCATATTTAACTGTGGGAAGAGAATCGGTCGAGGACGGCTTTTCACTTGAGGAAAAACACCGCAATTAGTCCCAAGGTAAGCATCGGTGCTTATGGGACGAACTAATACAGGTGCCAGCAAAATATTGTCGCACCGACGATAGGTAACGTTACTACATTTCGTGATAGTGTCATTTTTTGGCTCCACGCAACAGAACCGGACGTGTTGGCTCAAGTTTGATGCATGGCGGCATTTTACGTTGTGTCGGCGGATCGCTGACGTTCTTTTCGGCTGTTGTCACTCACGCGGCTTCTACATTTATTTTCAGGACAATTGTTGCGAGAATATGGCTTATGGAGGCTGCCCAGATGGGAAGTAGGATATTCTCGAACTCTTGAACGTGATATCCGAATGTTTCGCCAGATTTCCGTAGACGCTCGGCAGAATTCGGCACACAAAAGTAATAGGTCCTTCTTAAACGTAAATTAATAGCTTTAGAAAAGTAGTGAGCCGCTGAAGGAAATATTTCAGAGCGTATGTGTTACTTAACGGGCGTAAACATATGACTCTATTAGATGCTGCAGCGCTGGCCAGAGGCGTTCATCATGCTCGTCGCCTGTAGCAGCGCTTCTCTTTGCTGACTCTGCTTTTCAGCAGTGTTATGCGTATAGATTCCACTGCGGCCCTTGGGAGATAAGCTAGACGTCATACGACTGGTGATTTCATTCTTTGTTTTTTTGAAACACGCAGAGATCTTCTTTTATAGCAACACAGCTTCCTATGCTGCGTCAAAATCTTCACCTCGCATAAGCGTGCGCTCTCGTGTTCCATGGGGGAACTGTGATAGGCAGTTCATGCCCCCAAGTTGTTCCCGCATCTTGTCATCTTAAACGCAAATGCCATTAAACAGGATGCAGGAAAGAGTTAAACTATTCGAAAACTTAGATTCACCCGAAGTGGAACACCTCGGCGTGGTCATGTTCGTATACTAGGGACAAAACTGCTTAGCACATCGTTTAAAGAGCTGCGGCGCTGGTGTAAAGGCAGCATGTTGTCCTTATCATGAATGCTTTGTCGTCTTCTGGCAGCTCATGTCCGATAGGAGGGTCCTCACTGGATGCTCACTGTCTCCAGCTGACACGCGTCAACTACCTGGCAGGAATTGCTCTAAAAGGTGCAGAGAATCATGAACTATGTGAATCGTTGCATCCAGGGCAGTCCCCTATACCAAGCAGACCTGCTATTAGATTTCCACATGTAGCACTGGGTTTTATATAAAGTGCTGCTTTCTTTTCGCTGGCCCCACAGTTTTCATGTGTACGTACAGGTTACCCCATAGTTCACATGCAGAGGAATGACAACTGTTTAGTCTGCTTGACCATTCGTGGTTATTGTGATATATGTGACACTCCACTTGGTTGCCCGAAGTAGTCAGAAGGTCAGGACAGTCTCAATGCCCGCAAAGTCTAATTGCGTGCAGCCTCCAATCTGAGCACCAATATATCTATATATATACTTTTCGTCGTACTTGGTGCCTCTGTCTTAACGTCTCAGCTGTACTAAACTGTATCAATTCTGGACTGTTTTGCACTTGCTTATAATTGTGCGTGGCTAGAGCAATCACAGTCATCGTATATACACGTGAAATCATGGCGAAGGCCTTTTCGTAGCGGAAGAACACCGAGTGCCTGTACTTCCTGTACTTCGGTGTCAACGCATTGTAATGACAACCGGGTCAGCGAACGGATTGATTTGGCCCTCTGAATTACGTTTACTCCGTTCTCGACGAACGTTGATACTCTAGGTCTGTAATATCGTGCTCAGCGCTTAAATGACTTCCAATGCTGAAGACATCAAAGCGGCGTTGAAAAAGCCAGACAAATCTATACGAGATTTGCCAGGCGTAGTGGATGCCGACGTCCTAAAGGTTCAGATGAATATAACAGTCAGTAAATTTCAGGGGCTCTTGTGTCTCCCGTTTGGCTTTTTGTGGACTTCCGCAAATGGGTGGCCAGTTCTGCTCGTGCAGTCCCGATGGCCAGTGAACTGCCTGTGCTTCCCTCTTCAGCACATCACCACGAGAATGAGTTTACCTTTCAATAGTAACCATCCATATAATTTTAGGAATAAAAAGAAGAACGAAACATGTAAGGGCTTTCGAAGGCCCTATAATCCCCGACGGGACACCGCTGTTGAAGGCGGCCTCGTGTGGCCGTTGGTCACTATCCCGATCCCCTGAGTTTCTTTCCAGCGGCAAGACGACAGTGGGACAACTGCCTACTCACAAACTATGGACATTTGAAAAGAGTTTTTATAAAGTCTTCAATTAAGCCCTGGCTTTTACTTGGAGCCCGTTATTTCTTTCCTGCGCACCATCGCCTGGTGCAAGAAAACTGGAGGTCAAGCAGGCGGAAGGAGAATCTCGAGACTGAGGTGCAGACAACGGCGAATTTTGCTTTGTACAGCTCTTAAAAGACAATCCAGCATTTTTAGAGGACAATTTGCAGATATTTTCAGACTTTTGTTGGAGCCCGCGTTCCTGGTGTGCTCACCAGGATTGTTGAACTCAGACAAACGGCTCCTAGCACTTAACTGCGGCTAATTCAGAAGCATCTGCAGCTTGAAACTGTGCTAGGCAAAATGAAGACACTCAAGCCAGTAAAGGCCTTGTTCCTGGCAGCCTGCGCAGTGCTGGTGGTCAACTGGACAAGGGTTAGCGCGCTACACAGTGAGTTTTGATTGGGTTGCGATCATGTATCAACGCCTCATACTCTGTAATTCTGGCTTAACCTGTTTGCACTTGTTTCTTTTTCTCTAGAGATAATGATGTAAATCTCGATGCGCTGCGATTCAGGCATGTCGCCAAACTGGTTTCGCCGGAAACTCTCTGGGGTAAGTTGCGGCGCGATCCACGAATTGTAGAACAGGCTTCGTATAGCCCTTTCAAGGCGTAAGTGCTTTAACTTTGCGCGCGCATCCGTTTTGATGTATGTACACAGGCCCAAAACAGACTTAAATGGATAAAGCCACGAAGGGTAAGGGCAAGGTACACACGCCTAAGGTAAGGCCAACTGTTCCGAATCATGAAATTAATCATTTGTGATTTCGAAATTTGCAGCCAGTAGCATCGAGTGACCTGGCTGAAGTGAAAACTTTAGGAGATTTAGTTCGCCGGCTGGATTTCGCTGGTTTTAAAGGCCCCTGGACTGAAGCGGACTTTTTTTCGATCTTCAACAGTGAGTACGGGAAAAAAATCCCAAGACACTCCTGGCTTGCACTCAAGTGACCCATCACATAGCTTTGTAGTGTGATGGTTCGCAGCTTGATCTTGATCCTGTTCTCAGGTCTGAAGGGTTGCTTCAAAAGCTTCTCGCCACCTCCTGGGCTTGCACTCGATTTCTCGGTGGATGCGTCATGGAGTCCGGATGACAGCATCAAAAATTTCTTTAAGTTCATCTCTCCTTCAGAATTTATTCATCCCCCTGTCTCTGAAGAGCCCAGCAACGCGAGCTTCGCAGAAATTACTACTGATGAAGCTCCACGTCTTGTTGCTGAGCGTGATCCTCCAGACGAACAACAGGCAGAACAGTTCAAACCTCTAAGAACACTGGCTTATGCCAGAACTGAGAAGCATGTTCTTGCTCACATTATAAGGAGTGTCTACTCGCACTTCCAAGGACCAGCGTGCCAGAGAATGGCAAAACGGCTTGATGGAATGGTGCGTTTGCTTTTGAGAAACAACTCAAAAGCTAGAGCGCTGGAGCCAATACTAGTATTTTCCTTACTCCAAGGAAATGCGGCCTCTGCTGCCAAGTTCCGCGGCGAAGCGTCGAGCAGTTTGCCAGAAGAACCTCATTCGGACGGGTTACAGCATGCTGACTCATCTCAGATGCTCAGTGACGCCTTCCCAAGGGGCGGAATTTATGACCCGTTTCTTCTCATAAACTACTTTGACCTTGGTACGTCATTCGCGTGGGCTTGCACAATTTCGCCGCTTGCTGTGCGCATTTCAATAATTGGGCTGTGTACGCTGTAACGCACGTTTTATGTTGTGGGTTTTACAGCTAAAAGTGCGGGTACGCCTCAAATGAAGAAGCTAAACAGGCTGCTGCAAAAGCCAACTGACACGAGGAAAGTGGGCAACAAGCTTTTTGGCAATTCTCTCGCGGACCCGGCCATGCATAAAAGGATTGCTGGAGTTGCAGAAGCTGTTGGTGACAATGCCGATATTTTGCGGAGGGTCGTCGAACAGATCGGCCAGATATCCATAAATTCAGCGGACGCTATATCCATCCTCATGCCCCAACTGCCTAACGTTGCTGACCTCGTGCGTGGTGCCTCCTTCTTCGCCTTTGAAAGTGTTTTCAAGCAACATGGTAAGACAGAAGCTGTCCGCTGCCCTACGCTGGTAGTGCAAGCCATTATACCTTACTAATGAGAATGTTGGCCTCTGGATTGCGGTGCAGGTGCTTATGTCATGCCGGGGTTGCCATGTGGAGGCAACGTGACGGGCAGTATGCTAGAAACATTAACGGGGAAGAAGCTCGGCTCGAATTATTTTGTTTACAAATACACGGAACCCGTCCTGCACAACTCATTTCTTCCACCAAGCGTGTGGAGACCACATCCAGAGTCCCAGGTGGCACGGTACTTTAGGGAAGAGGAGCAAGCAAACGGCGAGTACATGCTACGTCATGTCCCTCGGGTTTGCGTGCGCCCCAAATTATTCACAAGATGCTCGAAGAAACCACCTTCAGACACAAAAACCAACGAGCAGTTGCTCTGCCACTTCATCAATGGCCATCAGAGCTACTTTTTTGAAGTAAACGGTGAGATCGAACTGCCACTCAACAGGGTCTGTCCCCAGGTGTGCCCCAATTGCGAGGTAACTAAGTTGTGCATAAATGAGGATTCGTTTCACTGCTCTGCAGGGAGCGGTGTGTATGCAATGCGGAGGAACATGGAGAGAAGCCGTGCCTTGAGGGAACGCAATGCGCTTCGCCGCGGTATCCAGACAGTTCGTCGGTTTCTCTTAAGCAAGACGTCGGTTGCGCTGGTTCTCGGAGCAGGCGTCGGCGCCCTGTGTGCTGGAGCAGGATTGGCCGGGATTTTAAGCGGATCGATTTGCGCAATCGGTGCAGTAGCAGCTGTCTCAAACTTGCGCTTATTATTTGCAGTCGCACCGTTCGCAGCCAAACCTGCTCTTCCACTTAGCCTTGGAGCATTTCTGGCAAGTGAATTCGAACGCAATGTTGGCATTGTGAAGGGAATGCTTGGCGTGATTGTGAGCGGAAGTATGCAGACGGCCACGACAGAAGAGAGTACAACTGCGCTGTAACAAATTTATTTGTTGGATAATCTGGATGGTCACAGATGAGTTACCATTCACGCCTCCGTTATTCTCGACATCGGTTTTGAACCAGACCTCAGCACAGCGCGAATTCTGCCCGATGATCTCTCTACGAGCTTTTTACTTCGAAAGGTCGCCCTAGTGTATCCCCCCGCTCGACTCCAATATAAAGTCGCCAGTGTATACAGCGGCGCAGGTGTCGTCTCACACACACACCATGAATCTCATGAGCGTGGAGTAATTTTATGCTTTGGCGAGCAAATTTGCACAATATTAATTCCTTTTGGCCTTTACGGTATTGCCATGCGTCGTCTGCGGAGCAGACCTGTTGTGGGATCGCTATGGCTACGCCAGGTCGTTGACTCATAGTGACTCCACATCTTGTAAATGTTCACATGTTGTCACTAAATTAGTTACAATTCATGTATGCTTCCTTATACACTTAAATGTGTGTTTCCTATGGGAATATATGCCATCCATGGCATTATGTTCCACATTTCCTGCCAGCGTGAGCGCAGTGAGCAATAACGTGAACAGATTCATGCGCTCAAACGCTCTGTTGAGCTCCTTGCCAACTCATCATTCCATTTTGCCCTTGAGGAAGGAACGACGAGAAAAACACTGCGCTTCTGCTGTTGGCAGTCCTTAACTCCGTCTCGAACTTTTTGTACAAAATTATTCGGTGAATTCACATACATCAAAGCTTTTTGCTTCTAGTGAATGACGAGAACATTGTCACTCAAGAAGCCAGTTCCGGGTTAAATACAACTCCCGATAGCTGTTGCTGAGCCGACATTCTCAGGGCTTCATAATATCCTGCTACATAGGAATCGTAGCGTGTCGCGAGGTCACCGACAGGCTGTGCTGGAGGGAAAGCGCCTGAACGAAGCGGTTTACCACCCATTCACAGCGGGAACTGCAGGAAGGAGAGTCTCTGAGTCAGCACCAGGAGCAACAGAGGCCACGCTCAAAAACTACACATTACTGCTTTCACTAGCTATACTGCTTATGACAAAGAAGTTCTGCTGTGGGGTAGTTTCACTCAGATATCGAGGTTAAGAAATGAGCAGCGGTGGTGCTAATATGCAGAAACTAGTGCCCACCTTGATGCTGCGAAGAGTCTCCGCATGTCTTTACTGCTTCCACTACTGATGCGGCAACGCTGATAGATTGGCTAAGCAGCGTCACAGCCTGCAGCAAAACGTCCGGTCATGCTAGCACACGACGAAGTGTTCATTTATAACCAACAACCAGCCACCAGCCAGCCCCTTTACTATGACCCCCGGAATAGAACAAAAGACTCGCCTGTTTTTTGAAATCGTCGCTAGTGATGGCATCCATAGCTCTGTCCACTGCCCCCAGCAATACAACTGCGCCGTCCTGCAGCTCTCCGGCTTTCTCACTTCCTACTCCCACTGTTTGCCACAGTTCTTGGCCCCTGCCCGAAGTCTCGCCGCAGGAAACTACGCCCTGGTCTCTTGGTGCTTCAAAGGCACTATGTCCTGAGGCTGAAGAGGCAAAAGCCACTGCAGCAGATGCTGCTCCTGAAAACATTTCTCCGACGCGCTTTGCCGTTGATATGACAGAGTACTCTGCAGATTGCGAATTGTTTTCGCCTTCTTGCTGCTGCTCTGCTTCTTGCCTAACATTTATTTCATTTCCGCTGTCATAAGCGGATGAGAAACATAACACATGTGGGAAGCAGCTGCTCCGCGAGCGCGTGCGCTGTGCGTCCTGCTGCGCATCAGCCTGTTGCTCTGCGAGAGTTTCCGCACTGCAGGCTTCTGCACTAGTAAGGGCTTTACTCTCTGCAGGGGAAACTCCCGAAACCTGGCCGTTAGGCTGATTCATAGGCTTTCCAGTAGAATCTCTCGGCATTTTCTTGATCGCTTCCGCTGCTTCTGCTGCGCGTGCTGCAGCAGCAGCAGCACGTTCCCCAGCTGCTGCTCTAAGGGCAGCTGCGACACGGTGAGCCACTGAGCAGCTATGTGGGCTTAAAAGTGCTTGAGGGGCACCCTGATGCTGCTTCCAAGCTTGTTCGCTTCCTTCTGCCAACATATGTGAAGGGACATAAATGCGTTTCTCGGGTGTCCGCCTTGCTCGTTCGTCCGCTTTCTGGTCCTCAACAGTCTCTAATTGCTTGTTATGAGGTGGCAAGACATCTGTCGAACCTTTCAATTGAAAGCCCAGTTGCATCTCCCGTTGCGGGCAGGGCTGCCCTTCATGCGACGGCAACTCGTCCTGTTGCTTGTCCTGCTGTACCGTGGAACATTCTGCAAGGGGAGGGCTAGGCTCGGGATGAGAGTAATGCGGCAAAGAGTCTTTCTGCTGAAGAGTTTTGGCGCGTTCCTGTAGAGAATTACTGGAGTTAGAAGATCCGTTGTTTGGAGAACCCTGGAGACTGGACGACTGCTCAGGTGTTCCACTTGCTATATGTGGCTCAGCCGCAGTTGACACTTTTTTCAGAATTTCGACCTCTTTACTTATTTTCCTATTATTCTGAACATCAGTTGCCGCCTTGTTCCGGCGTGCGCTGGCTCCGGCTGCTTTGCACGGCAGACAGGTTGAGTTGTTGGCCCCCATTTCACCCGATAATCGGTATTCCAGTTCGCAGGGGCGGCCTCGTAATGACAATGTTTTGACACTGTTACCGAGGTGAAGTCCTACTAGCGAAGCGGGGAGCCTTCACTGCACCTATCTCGAAAACAGAAGGGGTGTAATCACGGCGGCAGGGATGTCGGCTCAGCATTACGAGCAACAGCCTTGGCCTTTTTCTGCCAACGATACAAGCATTTTCTAATGATTCCTCATGTAATGTATACAAAACCATTGGCTAGGCTGTCATTGTTGAGCGGGGCCACATTGTTACACGCTTAGCCGAAGTGCGGGGTCAGCTGGCGACGCCAGCGGCGCCTGGCATCAGACGTCTCCAGTGCTGCTCGATTACTCTCCCAGGAGTTACTGCCTCAATTTGTATACAGCGCGAAACCCTATTACTTTAAAGCTTAACATATTTTACACCAGCTGAAAAAATTAAACAAGCTCGTACGAGTTAAGCTGACGCCTTTCAGAACGTGACGGAGGGTGACCACTGGATGTTTGCACGGAGCAAAAGACCCTCTCCCAGACCTTCTCGAAGATGGAAACACACGACGGTGGCCTTCAACTCTTTAACATTGAGTCTAGTTTTGTTTCACTTTAAGCTGAAAGTGATAACGAGCATGCGCAGTCAACTGGAACCGAGACAGGCTCCACCGCTAAATTGGCTGGAAATGCTGCGGAAGGTCGCTCACAGAGTTTCCACGGATTTTTGAAATAACTAGTGTTCTAGAGTATGTGGGTCGAATGTGGCAGTGGAATGAAGGCAGAAGGAGACGTGACTCTGTGTTATGCAAGGATTGCGCGCGTCCGTGTATGTGTGCACAGGGACATACTAAGAGGGAATGAAAATGAGTTCCACACGAATTCCAGGTATGCCTCTAAGCGTGATGCAACATACGGGCGAAGCATTTTCTGGCTGACAGACCGGCATCGGATAAGCCGATTGTGTAACATGCAACATCACACATAGCACCAGCGTTGCGATTAACAATGAGATGACGGGGAAGAGTGAAAGCTCACTTTCTATCACTGCGAGAAACACCTCAAAAAACAGATTGAAGGCTTCCATGCACTGGTCAAAAATATAGGGAAGTCTGTCAATTCACTCTGTTGCTAGCCTCACACTGAAATAGACGAGCACGCCAAAATTCGAGTGTCCACAACGTAGTGAATCTGCTACAGGTAACTCTGACGTGGAAAAGAATAAATCATGTACCACTGACGCCTAGAAATAGCCCTGACCACGCCTAATTTCAAAATTTTGGCAGTTGAAGCAGAGTGAGTTGTCTTTCAGCTAATACTCAACCGGCAGAAGGTTGCTCCGTTGATCTATGTGGCCATGCATTTATTTTTTCACATGTCTCTGTGTAGCCCTGTTCTGCTGAAGTTGCACGCTTTCTCTTTCAATCCAGTTCACTGAGATTTGTGATTTCGTCTTTTTACATCGAGCTTCTTACCATTTGGCTTTCCGAAATGTTATCTTC